CGCCTCGAGCGGAAGGGGCAGGGTGGGGCTAGTCTCCCCCACCACACGAACAAGGCCCAGGTTCACCAAGAGCTGGGGGGCTCGCGGGGGAGTTACCTCCCCAGGCCTTTGTTTCCACTCCAGCATCACCCTCCTCCGGAGCGAGGCAGCTCAGCCCTCCCGCTGGACAGTAATGGTGCAGCAATCTGTGCTCCGGCCCTCGGCCTGGCTCGCTGGAGCACCAGAGCCTGCTCCGACCACAGGCGCCTCCCTTAGCCCTTGGTCTTGGCTGTCCCCCCTGCACAACGAACCGCTCCCGGCGGGGAGGGTGGCCAGGGGTCTGGTATTGTCCCAGACAGTCCGGTATTTGCGCGCTCTGTCCGGTAAAAAAACATCAGACAATACCAGACACGTGCAATGTCCGGTATTTTCTGATTTTTCTGGCTGCGCACCGGATGGAAGCCTGGCGGGGGCGGGGGGACCGGCTGGGAGGCGGGGCCGCGATTGCCCCCGGGAGCCCTCAGCTGGTTGAGTGTGAGGAGGCGGGGAAGCCTCCTCCTCGCTCGTGCGTCGCTGGGAGCCTGTGTGGGACAGGCAGTGTCCCGGGATCTGCAAGTGCCTGGGTCAGTCCCGCTCCGCACCGGCCGATTTGCTCACCCCCCCCCCGCTTCCCGGCTGGCCGGTTTTCCCCCACTTCCCCTCCTGATCTTCCCCAGCCAGCCCTCCTGCACGGCACCCCAGCTCTGCTTCCCGCCCCCTCTTCCTCCTGGCCAGCCCTGCGGCCCCCAATCCCTCCCAGCTGTGCTTCCTACCCCCCTTCCTTTCGGCCAGCCCTGCCCCCCCAACCGGTTCCCCCTCCCGCCCACGATCAAGTGTGTCCTTTTTTTGGGGGGGTCTACCTGGTAACGGAGGACAGGCCCAGCCAGAGGAGTTCTAGACAACACTCAAAAACCAGCACACTGAGGAGAGACGCGCATACCCTCCAGCTTCATGGCCTGAGCCGACCTCCAGCCATGGGGGGGCTGGGAGGAGACTTCCCAGGGGGCGGCGTATCCCACCACCATCTCCTTTGGGGTTCCACACCCCTGCCTCTCAGGCATCGCGTGTCGGCGGAGGTCAGAGGTGGGATCCCAGTGTAGGCAGACCCGATGGTCCAACCCACCATGGCAATTTCTCTGCACCCGCATCGCCAGCAGGTCACCAGGCACAGTGAAGGAAGTGAGTCTCAGAATGAAGAAGTCAAGTGACGCTGGATTTCCCACGCGGTCCCTGGCTAATTTTCAGCCACTGCCCTCCCAGCCGGGTGCTGAATCAGCCCTCACAGAGCCAGAGGCCCCTACAACAGAGCGTGTGCAGCACAGCTTTGGAGAGCTACTGCGGGGCAGATAGGAAACCCCTCAGCCAGCTACCCTCAACCACCACAATGGCACCGTTCCAGGAAATGCAGAGACCACAGCGGGAAGTAGATGATTTGCAAGATGCAAGCAGGGGAGTTGCTTTTGCTAGCGGGGGAGGAGGCAGGAGGGTCTGTTGTCTCAAGCCAGGACTCCTAGGTTCTAGTTTCCCCTTTATTCGGCTCTGGTGAGGCTACATCTGGAGTATTGTGTCCAGTTCTGGGCCCCCCGCTCAGCAAGGACGTAGACGTATGGGAGAGGGTCCAGCAGAGGGAAACCAAAATGATTCGGGGGCTGGAGCATATGACCTATGAGGAGAGGCTGAGGGATTTGGGCTTATTTAGTCTGCAGAAGAGAAGAGCGAGGGGGGATTTGAGAACAGCCTGCAACCACCTGAAGGGGGGTTCCAAAGAGGATGGAGAGAGGCTGGTCTCAGTGGTGGCTGATGGCAGCATGAGGAGCAATGGGCTCATATTGCAGTGGGGGAAGTCTAGGTTGGATATTCGGAAAAACTATTTCCCTAGGAGGGTGGGGAAGCCCTGGGATGGGTTCCCTAGGGAGGCGTGGAATCTCCATCCCTAGAGGTGCAAAATTCCTCATCCAAGACGGGTCAGGTCCTGAGGATGCCAGACCATTAAGGTCCAACCTGTAGTCTCATCTCTCAGCCCTCCCTGGGGTGGAGAGGCGAGGTGGCTGTGACACTCTCCCTGGGCACAGGGAAGGTGCTGGGGTGAACCTGACATGTGCGCAGGCCCTGGAGCGGACGAGCTGGCCTGGAGATGCCACCCCTCTCCCTGCTGCTAGGGCAGGATCATGTTGCGGGTGACTCATCAGGAGGGCCAGGTTTGATCCCCGCTTTCCCGTAATGACGCTCCTGAGATCCCGTCTGCTCGCTTCCCACACAAGTGCCTTCGAGAGCCATGAATAAAAGTTACAAGGCCAAGTCGCTGGCAAAGGAATCATTCGTCACACGCTCCCGCAGCCTGTGTGCGCACATGGGGGGAGGGCGGGTTCTCATCTGAGGGGGAAGCGCAGAGCAGGGGCCCTGTAGGTGGCTAATCAGTTACTAACAGATGAGGTCTAACGTTTTTCTGCCTGGGAGCAGGGTGGTATAGACTGCAGGGGAGCTCTCATCACTCGGGCAGAGGCTGTAATAGCCCCCAGCGCTGGCAAAGCACTTCCTAATCCCAAGGGGCTCTACAAATGTCTCTTCGTTCACCTTCACCGCTCCACCGCTCTGACGCCAGTGGGGAAACTGAGGCAAAGAGCCTGAGTGACATGAGCAAGGCTGCACGGTGCATCGGTAGCAGAGTTGGGAACTCTTGTTTACCCACTTAGCAGGAACGGGGGGCACAGAATGGGGGGAGAGGAAGCAGAGCTGCTCCATGCTAGGAATAAGCTTTCCTGGGGCAATAACCCCTCCCCCCCTCCCAATACCTGCCTTGCAGCAGCAGAGCGAGATGCTGGAAATGGGCCTAGGGGTGCGGATGGGGGGGCAGCCTTCCTTCCCCCTCCCCCATTCCCTCTGCTGTTTCAGTCAGTGTGTAGGCTGTACGATTCCCTCCTGCTCCCATCCCCCACTTCTGAGTCACGCCAGCCTCCGGACAGCTGGAGCCCTTGACATTATAAATAGCAGGCTGCTCTGTGCTGGGTGGAAGCCGCATTCCCTGCACAGCTTCACTCGCTTCTCCTCACGCAGCCCCAGGAGTCCGTTCGGGCACCTCAGCATCTGCTCCAGGCCCAGAGCGCCCCAGGTGCCCCCCTGCCCAGCACCCGACGCCCTGGCCACATGCCCCTCACAGGGGTTGGAGAGAGGGCGGTCACCGACAGGAATTCCCTTGTTCTGGGATAGGACTTCTGCAGCGGATACACACCAGCTCCCCCACCTCTCCTTTCCTCACTGTCCTGCGGGGACACCTGGACCCCATGGAGCTGAGTGGTGCTGATGCCTGGTCCATGGGACAGCCCCGGATTGACCCCGAGCCCTCGGGATCCAGCTGTCCAAGGCTCTGCAGCCTGAGCTCAGGCTGACCCACCCACTGTGTGGGCCGGGCACAGCAGGGAGACAACACACTGACCAGTGGCCACTGGCTCCAGGCAGCGGGAAGCAGCGCCGGCCACACATGCGGCGGGGGGGAGGGATCAGGTGGCAGGAGCAGGGACAGGCTGCAGACTTCATTGGCACCACAGATGGGACGGGATTTCCTGCCCCCGGGATTGGCAGCGAGCGGGTATTTGCTAATGGAGCTGCCGGAGGGCGAAGGGACCTGCTCTTAGCCATGAGCGGTCGGTGCAGCTGGAGCTGGGGGAGGCAGGCTCCCAGCCTCACCTACAGCCCTGCCTTTCTACTGAGGTCCTGTCCCCCACCATGGGGAGGGGAGGAGGCGGGGCAGTGCACCGAGCGTGCGCCCCCACGGGCAGGAAAAGAGACAGGAGGGGCCGAGCGTGCTCCAGGCTCCCCAGCCCCAGAGCACAGGGAAGGAGGAGGCCAAGTGGCTTGAGTCTCCCGGGCCCCAGAGCACACGGAGGGCAGGCGCTGGGGGCAGCCTACAGCAGGTGTCCTGGGGGCGGAGTGAGGGCGGGCCCACGCCTGGCGTTTGAGAAGGCAATGCCCCCCCTCCTAGGCTACCAGCCGGCCATGCTCTTAGCAGATGAGGGTCGGTCTCCTGCAGGGGATGGCCAGCTGGGGCGCAGCAGGATGGCTGACGTGCCCACTAAGGACAGGGCTGAGCTGAGAGAAGGCCCCTTCCCCCCCGCATCTGATAAGTGCAGCACACAGCAGCCCCTGTGGCCGGATTGTCCCTGCTCCAGGCTTGTGGAGCTGGGGTGACCCTTCCCCTCCAGGTCGACTCCAACAAGCCACGTGGCACAAAGCTTCCAGCACCCGACTGCCACCTGGCACCCAACCACCATGGCACCCCAGGCATTTTAAAAACGGGGGGGAGGGGGAGCTCTTGCTTGGAAAACCAGGGACGTGAGGCCAGGCTGCAGGCCAGTGTAAATCTAGACTCAGGCTTTGTGGAACGGCTCTAGATTTACTCCGAGGTAGCGGGGAGACTGCCGTCTGGGCTGAGGGCTGTGAACTGAACTTCCCTGGGGCCAATGAGAGGTTTGCTGTACACACCACTTCTTTTGTCCCTACTGAGACTCCCAGCTCTCCTCCCTCTGTTCCTGTTTCCACTTTCCCTTTTTTCTCCTAGTCCTTCCCCCTCTCTGCTCCCCTCTGTCTTTCTTCCCAGCCCTGCACAGCTCAGTCACGGGGATTTTACTGCGCATCTGCTTGGTGTTTAAGCAGAGCACTAGCCGAAGGCTGTAAACAGTGTCTGTCAGCAAGATCTCAAGCCTCGTACACGTCCCTCTTGGAAGAAACGCAACGGCAGCTGCCAGAGCTGGGGCTGCGTCCCTGCTTCGCAGACTCTTGAGGCTGCATGAAACAAAGGCTCTCCGTATGCTGAGCGGAAAGGCGGCGTTACCCAGAATCTCTATGGCAAGAGGGATAAACCGGGTCCCTAGATAGTGAAGCTCACGGGCTGGGACACACATGGCTCCCTGGTGAAACAGGGCATGGATTCTTGGCAGCCAATGCTCAAGCCAGGACTCTGCCCGCTTTGCAGTGCCAGAGAGATACAAAGCAAGCGGAGTGCAGCAGGGAATCTGTGCCAAGCACAAAACGGTGCACGGGGGCACCCTGGGCTTCTCCATTTCTGCAGAGGAGCCAGCAGGTCACTGGAGAGGAGCCAGTGGGAAGTGAGCAGGGCGAAGACATGGCTCCTAGCGCTAGTACTGTACCTTTCCGGAGGGCGCCATGGCTTCAGGGTCGGAATCAGCGGAGGAGGAAGAGGAAGCTGCAGAAAAAAGAAACCATCAGCCAAAAGGTCCTTTCACCCAACAGACATGTTAACTGCGGGGCGGACACTGGGCTTTCAGCCACAGCCCTGTAAATCCAGAGTGATGCCACTGAAGTCAATGGATCCACTCCAGATTTACGCCATCATAACCAAGATGTTTGGCCCATTATGTCCTTTATTGGCCCCCACCCGAGACTTGGACGGGCTCTCCCATCCACACACCACAGCAGGGCACTGATACAGACAGGCTGCCCAGGTTTGCTCTGCCCTTCACCCCTTCTCTCCCCTAGGCCCATTCTGCACGTACTGATAGACCAGGAGGGTACAAATCTGGCTGCCACGTACGGGCACATGGAGCAGTGTTCCAAGAAACCGCCGGCGTTCACCAGCGAGAGCGGCACAGGCCAGTTTTGCTTCGCTCTCAGTCCTGCGCTTTCTGCTCCGTGCCAGGCAGCCTGGCGCAGACACATGCAGGAATGGGGGCGGGAGGGAAGAAACACAAAGTCAGTTGCACCGTGTCAGGAAGGAGCAGCACGTGGTCCCCGGGGAACAGCTGCTTCCCGGGTGCCACCAGCAGCCCTCTCCAGTGGATCACCTGCAAGAGCAGCTGGCTTTTCAGCACAGAGGGCCGAAGTCGAGTGCGGAATGGACCTGGTTGCCAAGGAGATCACCTCCCCCTCTCTGCATCCTGAGTGGTTGGGATGCTCTTGCTGTTGCTTCCTAGGGTTGAGTTCTCCATGGCGGGTGGGAGATGATCCCTCACCGGAGCCCAGGTCTGGGGACCATCCCATAATGCCAGGGCTTCTTTGTCCCTGTTAGTGCCTGGTTGATGGCATCGGGGTGTTCTCTCTCTCATCAGAGGCTCAGCCTCTGTAGTTTTGCTGGTGACAAATTGTTGTCCTGGCTCAGTTCAGTTTTGAACACCTCCTCCCGCTGGGCCCAACCCAAGCCCCACTGAAGTCAACGGAAAGTCTCCCAATGAACTCAGGATTAGGCCCTGGGTGTTTCCATCTCGCGTGGGTCATTTACTGGAGAACTCCGCTCGGGCAGGGTCGAATTGCTCTGGACGGGCGCAGAGCAGGCTGTGCCAGGATTCTGCCAACACACCGCAGGCCTGGCCGTGGCACCCCCTCGTCTTCCAAGCCTTGGCTTCTCCCAAGGAAGCCACCCACCATGTTAAGTGGGGCCAACTGGGTCACGTTCTCAACAGCCACCCAGCCTTGGCTGGAAGCAGCAAACAGGTTTCATTTGTAATCTAAGCCCCATTCACGCCCAGGGCCCTCAGGAGTGGGCGCCAAAGACCAGATCTTGGCAGGCTCAGCTGTTTTTATGAAGTCCTGGAAATCAGCCAGAGTTGGCCTGAGCAAGGACCTCAGAAGCGAGCTCCGTCGTGACAGCGCTTGATAGTAGGAGGCCGCCGAGCGATAACCGTCTCGGAGACATTTTCCTTGAGCGTGGAGCAGCGTCCTGTCCTCTTTGCTTGGCGTCACCCCACAGTGAGCTCGCAGTGCATCGCTAAACCCAGACTCTCTGGTCTGGCCACATCCATGGTGGACCACAGTGGCTGGAAGTCCAGCGGCAAGGGGGCTAGCAGCTGGGAGCCCTGCTGGGGCCGGGCACCTGAGAGGGCTGGCAGCAGGAGGGCCGGTGACCAGGAGCCCAGCTGCAGGCAGGAGCTCAGCTAGGGCCAGGAGCAGTGGAAGATGGGCAGGGAAGGGGAAGTGACAGGGGGTGGGTCTAAATTCAGCTCCCCTGGTCCAGCAAACTCCCTTGTTCAGGGCCAGTCAGATCCCGAGAGTGCTGGACCAGGGAGGTCCAACTTGTACCAACCTCCTCTCTCCGGAGATAGGGCTCTGATTCCTGACTGTGCCATCTGGAGGCTAGCTGGTGAGGTGCTGCAGCACCTCGAGGCAAGGAAGCCAGGGACATTGCAAGCCATCCAGGCGCATCTTACAAAATCTCGGGGCTGCCCTGCTAGGCAGGTGGGGAAACCAGGATGGCTGGTGCCACAGGGCAGCCATCCTTGGGGACAGGCACGTCCCAGAGCGCCAGGTCCACTGCCGGCCCATTCAGGGCACAAGGGAGTTGGGCTCCGCCTTGCCTGGCGTGGCACAGATGAGGGAGTGAGTCCAGAGCGACAGTGTCCAGGGGGCCTATGAGAGAGAGCAGGCTGGAGGCTTGCCAGAGTCCCCAGGCCGAGGTCTTCGGGAACACAGGCCCTGCAGGGAGCGGGAGCTGGAGAAGAGGGCGTAGGGCTGAGCATGACCAAGGAGCTCAGGGCTTTGCCCCGAAGGTTGGGATGCAGCAGGCGGCTTCTGTGTTGAACGCTGCTAAACCCAGAAGGGAGGGTTAGTGTGACGACGCCTGCAGGGGACACTTACCAGGGCATGAAGGGAAACTGAGGCAGCAGCAGCAGGCTGACAATGGCTCACTGGGAAAGCCCCTGCTATAAGCGATAACCCCACAATGAGGTGTGTGTGGGGGGGGGGGGGCTGTGTTCAGTGACCTGGCAGGGCAGGGCCATGTTCAAGAGCACGGCTGGTTCGCTCCCTGTGCACCATTTCACCCCCAGACTCTGGAGAGACAGAATCCCCCCTCAGCTTCACCCAACGCCTTATTTCTCCAGAGGGCCCGGTGCTAGAACCCACTGCCATGTTTCAAGGCTGGCGGCTGCTGAGCAGTTCCCCCTCGGGGGCTCCTCCCTCTGTCGAGGCAAGAAAGCAAGATGGCTGCCAGAGCCGACCCCAGGAAATGCAGCTCGGTTTCCACGGCAGTGCGCTTACTCTAAAAGATTTGATACCAGTGGAAACCAGCCCTCCCCACTAAAGTCACTGCTGCTGGAAGTCACTGGCACCCCCCTCCCCCC